CACGGAGAGACGATGATATAAAGTTAATACATTTCAAAAGTATGAAAAATGGAAGCACATATTTGAATATATTCGCCGCATTTGATCATTTTACGAAACGGAAAATACTGGAAACTGTAGATCCTGCTCAACAGGATGTATATGTGTATTTCTGTCGAAAGTACTGGCTTGAAACTATATGCCAGTCTTTGTTTCATGCAAAAAGACCCAATAAACAGACACAAATAAACACGGACATACGATGATATAAAGTTAATACAGATATATTTCAGAAGTATGAATAATGGAAGCACATATTTTAATATCTTCGCCGTATTTGATAATTTTACGAAACGGAAAATACTGGAAACTGTAGATTCTGCTCAACAGGATGTATTTACCAGGGAGGGGGTGAGGTAATCAGGTAAACGGAGTGATACGAAACGAGACGAAAAGAGACGAAGAGGGACGGCGGGAAATGAGAGAGACGAAGATATACGAAGACAGGCGGCGGGAGACGAAGAGAGACGGCGGGAGACTGGATTGAAGCAAAGTGACAGACAAACATTGAGAATTTAGATATAGTTCGATAGATTTAGAGTTTTGAAGATTCAACTATGATGAAGAGAACTCTGAACGTGAGTCAAGCTTTAAGCTTGTTTTTTGACATGGAGGAGGAGGAACCTGTGATGTTGCCCTCTGTGTCGTATTGACAGAAACCGCTTTGAAGCGTGGCACAGATAAAGACAGAAAAAACTGATTTTTGTACATAATGTGTATATATATATATATTTGTATTATATTTATAATAACACTTTTGCCTTATCAGAATGAAATCCCATGCTACCTCAATCAAACTTTCACATTATCATAGTGACATCCCATGTATTTCCAGCTTTTAAATGGTTTCGTTGTGTATGTTTGTGTTACCTATGAAAAATAATATAATTTTCAAAATCTGTTTTTACGTTTTTTTTGTGATTTTGGGTCCAAAATGTTCATATAGTAGAAGATCACTGCTCTAAACAAAGTCAAAAATCCTACATCCAAACGAAATAAATATAATTAATTATGATGAATACGTTAAGTCTTGTTCATTGTTTTTCACTTTTATTAAATGTTTGATATTTCCGGTGGAAATGGTGGACTATCGGACATTCAAAATGCAGCATATTTTCACTCTTACACACATATATTCTCCTTTTACATACATACATTTTCACTCTCACACACGTATATATACACTCACACATTCATACATTTTGCTCTCATATTATCATATTTCAATGCACACATTCATATATTGTCACTCACACATTCATGCATGTTGTTCTCATATTCATATAATTTAATGCTCATATTTATACATTTTGCTCTCATGCGAAATGTACTAAAACAAAGTATGTCATGGTAGTGGTCAGCTGTTAAACACAAAAGTGTATCTTAAGGGCTGTAAATATAATAAGCCTGTTGTCAATTTTAGACACAGGCTTATTATATTTACAGCCCTTAATAACATTCATTTTCTGGACTCAATGTGTGTCTTGGCCGTTTTCTTTGTTCCAAGCAAACGAGTGCTTTTTGTTTTGAAATCACTTCCGCGAGTTTCGCGGGCCTCCCCCCTCGCTCCACTGACCATTAGACCATTTAGTAAGGTAACAAGCAAAAGGGCAAAAAACGCCTCTCAGACGCTCTTCCGTTTACTTTTTTAATAAAGAAAAACAAATGGTCCGTAGATACACGGACTCATATAGCCTATGTATGTATACTGTAAGGAGAATGTATGTGCGTGAGAGGACCAGTATGAATTACGGGATAGAAATATGCAAACACAAACCTACAGACTGGGGGATGGGAGATCACAGGGTTGGGGGGGGGGGGGGGAGAGCTGTGGAATGTGACCCTTGGGAGAATTCCTCCACACATTCCGATGGCCAATTCGTTTTAAACAAAGAGTTCGCAACACAGGACAGCATGGGCAACATGGGGGGTGGGGGCTGGTGAACGGTCTGGTCAATGTTTGTAAACACAATCCCCAGGATGTGTCCTAATCAGGAGCCGGGTAAATGAGAGACTGAGGAGCCCCCGAAAAACAGATCCCGAAATAGCTCGTCCTGGTTTCCGCAGCAGATAGGCCTACCGTATGGTGTCTGTTATGTCAGTTATTTTAAATAAAACGTTGAAAACTGAACTTGAAAATGGTTTCCTCTTTATATTTTATTTATCATTTTCGGGACGGGGAGACGTGTGTGATTAAAAATTAATTTGCAGAAATGTAAAGTGATCTAACTAAGTTCTATTCATATTCTTGACGGGAAGAGCAGTGTAAATGGGTGGCCATATGCATTTGAAAAGCAATATAAATCACACAGTTATTATACAATAGGCTATAAAAGCACCATCGATAACCATTACCTTTATCCAATTCAAACTTTGGACGGGAAAAAAGGAAGGTGTACATGGTCGGGCTATAGCCTACTGTAGGCCCAGGGGCGGCGGGTGCTATAGGCTAGGGAAGGCTAAGCCTTCCCAAATATTTGTGTAACTGCATCCTGGTAAAATAAATATATAATGTCTTTGACATTAGCGCTGCTATGCAGCCACCTGTGCCCTGTACTACGAAGCCAGTTCAACAGACCCTGGATATGCTTGAGTTATCTTAACTAACCCTAACAAACGAGATCTCGCTAAACGGTCCTACGGCGCTGGTTATCAACTCGGTAAATCAAGCCAGGGTTTCTCTCTCCAGCTGAGAACGCGTTCACGTGAAAGGGGCGGGGTTAGCTACATTTGACCAATCACAAACAGGGACAAGTGTACTGACAGCGCAACATCATACTTCATTAATGAAAAGTAAACTAATATTAGACAAATATGAACTTTAAACATCCATGATGGCTTAAACATATAATCCAGGATACAAGCCACATAGTTGCACCTGCAAGGAGAATACAGAACAACTCGTTAAAAAATAAACTACCGAGTGTTTGAAAGCGTACAACAGTTTTATGATACTGCCCCATCTAAAACACGAGGGGATCTGACTTTATTACATTTGAGTTGATTGTTTCGTCAACTTAATGTGTTGCTTAAAATAATACGTCTGCATACAGTATATGTGACAATGTAACTAAGTGTTGCACGGCCAGATACGGCTCGAGAAGCTGACTCAGATAAGGAAATATTGTGGTATCGATGTGTGATCGATGATCTGATTGATGATGTGATGTCAGTGTGATATGAATGATAAGTGCGACACGTCGGCGTCTTCACTGCATACGGCAGTTTAAACTGCATTTCCTTTTTCCTGTAATATGACTTGATAGATTTAAACTCCGCACACTGAGCTCTGATCGGTCAGCAGATGGTGCTTTCACTGAGTTGATCTCTTTTCTATAGACGCCGGAGGCGGGCAGCGTAAAATGAAAAAAAAAGTTATTTAGCCTTCCCAAACCTGAGCCTCACGCGCCGCCTATGTGTAGGCCTACTGTATACATACAAAGGCCATTCAAGCTAGAGTTCTTCTGGAAATGTTCACATCAGGCACCTTCAAGTTAAACAATACTAAACAATTAACACAGTAGGCCTAAATTATGTGGATTAAACCACATTTATTTCGTTAAAAATAAACGAAATATGATTTAGTTTGAATGATTAAATGTCATCAGGCACCTTCAAGTTAAACAATCAGGTGCACACTTTAATGTGCCCACCTCCGGACTAGGCTTGACTCGGTTTAAAGAATGCACAAATGTGTTTAATCGTTTATGTCAGATATGTACGAAGTAGCCTAAATACATTTGTTCCTGCTCAAGATTAGATTCAACTTTATTGTTATTGCACATATTGCAGGTACTGAGACAACGAAATGCAGTTTAGCTTCTAACCAGGGGTGCAACAAGCAGCGAAAAGTAATGTGCACAATACTACAGAAAACAATTAACACAGTAAATTATGTGGATTAAACCACATTTATGTCGTTAAAAAGAAACGAAATATGATTTTGTATGAATGATTAAATGTAGGGTGAATTGCCCTAATGTGGGACATTTTTTCATTTCAGACTTCGGGAATATATTGCGATATGAAGCCGATACAATAAATCAAAATCCAGTAGGCTACCATTCCGAAATCCCCAGTAATATTAGACACTAATAATACAGTAAACTATTAACACTGTACATATTATTGTTTGCCCGTGGGATTAGGATGATCGGTCGTGAGACCCGTGCTGCATTTTCCTCCGGTCGGATGTGATATAAAAACAAAGCGATTATTTTTGTTGTTGTAAACTCACGTGGATTAAATTTAGTGCATTCATTTCAACTCGCGAACATATGTACATTAAATGATCGTGAGGATGATGATTGAAAATCGTTTGTTTGAGCCTGGATGCATTTCCTGATCTAAAAACATAGCGATGGTTTTGTACTTACGCCAACGTGAATTAAACATTATTTTGTTAAATAAAAACATGGGGATGTTTAGTAAATGATTACATGTCTCTTATTTAGCACAGAATATGATCCTATCCGTGACATATGGATCTTAACAAATATCCACTATATCAGATACCTGTAGATCAGCTGTTTATTTCACATGAGTTCCAGTGTGGCAGCTTTTTAATCACGGCTCCCCCTGGTGGATCCATTATCTATTGCAGCTGGTTTCATTATAATTAAATGTATTTATCAAGGGGGCGTTTCAAGTCCTGCGGGGGGGTTTTCCTTTTCAGCAGGGGCCCACCCCGTGCCGATCACGGACCCGCACGGGTAGGCGTCTGAAATGGAGCGCTTCATCTGTAGAGGTTCCCTTGTCACTCTCCTATCCAAAACAACCATCAACTACATCATCACCACCATCCAACGCCTAATGAAGGCCACCATCGCCACTGAAGTCCGGGAATCTGGCATGTATTCTATCCAGATTGACACCACACAGGACATCACAGCCCAAGATCAGTGCTCTGTTGTCATACGATATGTGACAGACATTGTTCATGAGCGACTTGCTGCTGTGATTAAATGTGAGGCATCCACTGGGCAGTACTTTGCACAACTTGTTGTGAATGAAGTACTGGAGACCATGAAACTGGATGTGAGGCAGTGTATTGGAAATTCCACCGATGGGGCCTCCAATATGCAAGGCCAATATAAAGGCTTCTCTGCACTGCTCGCCAAAATGTCCCCCACCCATGTCCATGTATGGTGCTACGCACACGTCCTGAACCTCGTCCTGGCAGACACAACACAATGTGTATTGGCAAGTGGGTCTCTTTTTTCCCTGTTGAACAACATCGCTGTCTTCATCAGAGAGTCCTACCAGAGGATGAACATCTGGGAGAAGGAGAGCAAAGACCCAAGACACAGACGTCTCGCCCCGATTGGAGAGACACGCTGGTGGTCCAAAGACGTTGCTGTGACTAAGGTATTTGGCTCTTTTGGAAAGCCAGATAATGCCCTGTATGTTGATGTCCTTCATACCCTCTCCGCCATTCAACATGGACAGACCATCAACGCCACTGCACGGGTCAATGCACGTGGATACATCACCCAGCTTCTGAGGTATGAAACAATACTTACAGCTCAGATCTTCCTGAGAATTTTCCAGGTCACCTCACCAGTCTCAAAATACCTTCAGAAAAGTGGAATGGACATCCTGACAGCTCATCGGATGATTGTGGCTGCAGAAACACAGCTGAAAGATATGACCAGAGACTTCGAGAAAGTCAAGACGGCGGCCGCCACATTCATCCAGTGGGCCAACAATCAAACAGAGGAGCAGAGTGAGGAGACTGAGCTGGAGGTTGAGGCCGCTCTGCCACAGAAACGGGGTAGAAAGAAGAAAACCATGCCTGCAGAGATGTCCAAGGATGAGGCTGTGACTGATGCTGAAACATCATACAAGATTGATGTCCATAATCAAATCATGGACACAGTCACAGGAAGCATGACCCAGCGCTTCCTCAAAAATGGCACTTTGTATGCTGATTTGGCACTTCTGGACCCAAAAAGATTCAGCCAGGTAACATCTTATGCCGGTGGTTTCCCAGAGGCAGCACTCCAAGAATTAAGCAAGTGCTTGCTGCCATTTGATGACAGAGCAACGGTGGCCAAATTACAGAGTGAGCTCATCAGTCTGGCAGGACAGTGGAATAGGTTGAAGACATCTGTATTTGAGGAATACACAACCAAGACAACAGAGGCTGGGCCAGAGGATGCTGAAGATGAAGCGGAGATGGTATATAGAAAGTGCTCATCTTGCAAGGACTGCCCATTGTGTTGCTACCGTATCCTTAAGCAGTACAACCTCCTGACAGATGCATACCACATCATTGGCCTTGCATACAGGTTCCTGCTTACCCTGTCTGTCACACAGGTAGCATGCGAGCGAAGCTTTTCAACACTAAAATTCATCAAAAACAGGCTCAGGAGCTCGCTCTCTCAACAGAACCTGGAGTCCTTTATGCTCATGGCTACTCAACCAGATGTTTTGAAGATGCTGGATAGTGACCAAATTATAGATGGTGTTGCAGAGAAAAGTGAGCTGCTGCAGAAACTACTAATTCAGTGAGGTAATAATACATTTACATTTATTACTATGTGACTTCCCAATCTTGACACTAATAAACTAGTGATTATTGCAGACTATTAAACAACATTAAAAACATGAAATTTGTTCTAATGAAGGCTTCAGGTGGATGTCAGTATCTCTTCGATAATGTGTACATAACATGCATATATGTTTTGTCTCTCACCCATAGGCCACCCTATTTTTTCCAGAGGGGACTGACATCTACAACCTTGCTCCCAATGTCAAAATCAACCACTTCAACCCAGCCTCCTCCTTTTACAAGCAACACATGGATGAGCTCACTTATAGACCCAAAAGGGTAGAGAGGGAAGTATTGACAGGGCTTATTGTTTATAAGTATGTTGCCCTGCCCTCTAGTGTTTTTTGTTGTTGTGTATGTGTATACAGTATTGTAGCGAGCCCTGGGTTCAGAGGGAGGGGCTTGCATAGGGGAGGGGGGGGGGGGGGAAACCGGGGTTCAGGGGGAGTGGCTGCACCCGTAGGATAGAAAAGGGGGAAGTGACGTCTGACTCAGAGGTCGCACGGCTGTGGAGAAGAACGTTCATTCAGAACCCACATTCTGTTACTGAGTTTAGGCTAGTTAGCTAGCAGGTTTATTGTTCTGGGTGCAGTCACTTTTGCCTCCACTTGCTGTTCAAATAAATGTTGAAAGAAAAAGTAAATCTGTTTACAGTTCTGTTTCATATTGGTGTTGAGAGATGTATCCATAGATTTAGTCCCTAATTTTGCTCTCAAAATGCACCAGATTGATGCATTTAACTTCAACATTTTAAAACAAATCTTCCCGGGGGAGCATGCCCCCGGACCCCCCCTAGAGGGGGTGAGGTCCACCACCTGCCCACACCCCCTGTCAAATTGTCTCACCCACATTGAGGATGCTTCCTACGCCCATGTTTTATTCCATGCGTCAAGTCAGGCAAATTGGGTCCAAATGTTATTGCATCAATGATCTGTTAACATTAAAATCACTAAATATATGCTGTAACTATTTTGCTTAGGCAACTCAAGGGCTCAGGTAATGTGATGACTATATGAATAATGGTCCCAGGGTTTCCCACACATAGACTATACTTGGGCGGGCCGCCCAGGTATATTAACGGCCGCCCAAGTATATTTCGCGACCCATTTAGTTATTTTTTTTTTTTTTTATAACATTTTTAAAAAAAAATTTTTTTATTTATTCGTCCGTGACCACGACGCCATCTGCGATCGATTAACTTGTGGACAATGATCCCTCGCTCCCTTGCTCTGATCTCGCCTCGTTAAGTGTCCTGCCTCACACAGGGTGACTGGCTGTCTACATGATGTGGCCTGCCTCACACAGGGTGACTGGCTGTCCACATGATGCCGACATGGCCACTGTCATACAGATCATAAATCAAAGCCCTTGATTGGTCTCTGTGTGTCATTCAAGTTCGGGATAACCTCAGCTCAGGTGAGGTAAAGGACTCTCTGAGTGTTTAGATAGTTAACTTAGTTTAAGTTCTCAGTGGGTCTCAAACGGTGTGGTCACCATTTATGTAAACACATATTTCCATTTGAGAGGGTAGTGATTGGTCTAATGGTAGTGATTGGTCTGTGTGCATCTGGACCCGGTGACAAACATTACCTATTGACGCAGCAACCACTGTAAGTTATATTCTTGTTTAATTAGACTTCTCGGTTTCATTTATTCGACTCTGTATAATTGTTACTGTAGCTTAAAAACGGCTAAATCGCTTTTGAGAGATTTTAAATCTCAGATCTGCCAGGCGAAACCTGCTTTAACAGCTCTCAGCACTCAAGCCTGCATTATTAACATAGGCAGGGCCAGTCTATTGATTGCGTGAAGTAGAACCCGCGTGACTCAGTCCATCCTTTAGCTCAAAAAAGCATTTAAATAACCGCATTTAGAAACTGATTAACTCAGTGTGGCATCTGGACCCGGTGACAACATTACCTATTGACGCAGCAACCACTGTAAGTTATATTCTTGTTTAATTAGACTTCTCGGTTTCATTTATTCGACTCTGTATAATTGTTACTGTAGCTTAACGGCTAAATCGCTTTTGAGAGATTTAAATCTCAGATCTGCTCAGGGCGAAACCTGCTTACAGCTCTCAGCACTCAAGCCTGCATTATTAACATAGGGCAGGGCCAGTCTATTGATTGCGTGAAGTAGAACCGCGTGACTCAGTCATCCTTTAGCTCAAAAAGCATTTAAAATATACCGCATTTAGAAACTGATGAACTCAGTGTGCATCTGGACCCGGTGACAACATTACCTATTGACGCAGCAACCACTGTAAGTTATATTCTTGTTTAATTAGACTTCTCGGTTTCATTTATTCGACTCTGTATAATTGTTACTGTAGCTTAAACGGCTAAATCGCTTTGAGAGATTTTAAATCTCAGATCTGCTCAGGCGAAACCTGCTTTACAGCTCTCAGCACTCAGCCTGCATTATTAACATAGGCAGGGCCAGTCTATTGATTGCGTGAAGTAGAACCGCGTGACTCAGTCATCCTTTAGCTCAAAAAGCATTTAAATACCGCATTTAGAAACTGATGAACTCAGTGTGCATCTGGACCCGGTGACAACATTACCTATTGACGCAGCAAACCACTGTAAGTTATATTCTTGTTTAATTAGACTTCTCGGTTTCATTTATTCGACTCTGTATAATTGTTACTGTAGCTTAAACGGCTAAATCGCTTTATGAGAGATTTTAAATCTCAGATCTGCTCAGGGCGAAACCTGCTTTACAGCTCTCAGCACTCAAGCCTGCATTATTAACATAGGCAGGGGCCAGTCTATTGATTGCGTGAAGTAGAACCGCGTGACTCAGTCATCCTTTAGCTCAAAAAGCATTTAAATACCGCATTTAGAAACTGATGAACTCAGTGTGCATCTGGACCCGGTGACAACATTACCTATTGACGCAGCAAACCACTGTAAGTTATATTCTTGTTTAATTAGACTTCTTCTCGGTTTCATTTATTCGACTCTGTATAATTGTTACTGTAGCTTAAACGGCTAAAATAGCTTTTGAGAGATTTTAAATCTCAGATCTGCTCAGCGAAACCTGCTTTACAGCTCTCAGCACATCAAGCCTGCATTATTAACATAGGCAGGGGCCAGTCTATTGATTGCGTGAAGTAGAACCGCGTGAAACAGTCATCCTTTAGCGTCAAAAAGCATTTAATAATACCCGCATTTAGAAACTGATGAACTCAGTGTGCATCTGGACCCGGTGACAACATTACCTATTGACGCAGCAACCACTGTAAGTTAATTCTTGTTTAATTAGACTTCCGTTTCATTTATTCGACTCTGTATAATTGTTACTGTAGCTTAAAACGGCTAAATCGCTTTGAGAGATTTTAAATCTCGATCTGCTCAGGCGAAACTGCTTTACAGCTCTCAGCACTCAAGCCTGCATTATTAACATAGCAGGGCCAGTCTATTGATTGCGTGAAGTAGAACCGCGTGACTCAGTCATCCTTTAGCTCAAAAGCATTTAAATACCGCATTTAGAAACTGATGAACTCAGTGTGCATCTGGACCGCGGTGACAACAATTACCTATTGA